ATTATAAAATAACTGGTCATATTATTGTTCAAATTTTTAATACCAAAAAAATCGAGACGTTTATCATGCTAAAAAAGATTGAACAATGCATTTCACACAAAAATTATTTGAAATGTCGTAACAAAAAATAAATTAAATCGAGACCCACTAATTATACAAATACAAAATTAACCAGAACATTGTCTGAAAAACATCGATACATACACATTATATCAAAATATTCATTCATATTATTTTATCGGAGTTACAGTAATTTCATTGCACCACTCCATTGTTATTCTTTCATATATATTGATCAATCCGCATGTTTAACCTGAAGGCGGTATAATAAATACAGGCATTTCAGGAAAAATAACACCACTAGTGTGTAAGCAAAGATAATTTCACCACTTTAAGTAAAACACACCATCAACCAAATCTGTTACACCATGGGAAAATGTCATCGAGAACACATGTAAATTAGACACAATCTAGTTTATGCAGACATGAAGATTTCTCCAGCACACTTATGTGAAACAATGTGTATTATTAAAAAAAAATATCCGGCCTACATCACCAAGCACATTCCCAAGGACGTTAGTTTTCGAAACCAGTAGACACGACAAAAATAGTTCACTAAGCAACCATCTGACTTTAACACGAAGCTTGCTCAACTTGAGGCGCCTGCATAAAAAGGTACTGGGACAGAGAATAGATTATCTTAGCCACAGCCCATTAAAGAATATTTTCATGAACAAAAATGTATCCAAATCCAACTCATTGCCATTGTTTTCAATTACCTCAAATGATTTTCCTGATCTCTCAAAGTTCAGCATGCTGAGCGCGACTTCACAGCTCTGTGACACAATAGGCTCGGCATCCTTGGCGAATTCCTCGAGCAAAGAAACACATTGATCATCTATATCAAACAAATGCGTGCAAGTCAAAACTTAATTAATAGTCCCACATTAGCCGTAAACATATTTCTAGGCAGATCATGAATGGATTTAAACTTCGGTTAAATTATAGGAAAACGGTCTGACCTGCAATAGAACCAAGAGCCTCAGCTGCTTCATGTCTAACCATAGGATGTTCGTTTACATCTCTAAGAACCTGAGAAAGCGCATCTGAAGCTTTCTTGTTCTGCAGTTGGCCCAGAACATAAGCAACCTGAGCTCACTCAATTTCAAAAAAATAAAATAAAATGTTATTAATGAAGAAAAAAAGTTAACAAAGTAAAAGGCTAGATAACAATTAGAAATTAAAAATATCTGCTGTATACTTTCATTATCAGCCTGACCTATTCTAACTACACAGGACAACTAACTAGATAATAATAATCAAAAGCTTAGAAACATGATGATAAAGGGTGAATGGAATGAAGAATTTAATACTGAGTTTCCACCTTAATGCCCGTCTCTTGTTAGGTACTTTACCCAACTAAGTTAACGCAAGATAATTTGACTAAACAAGACAAAAATGTCAGCGAGGGCGAACATCAAATGGATTCAAAATAAATGTAAACAACAATTTTCAGTGATAACACACAAAGTAAGGAAAAAATGTCGAGTAAGAAGAAGCACCACTGGCTCATCAACACATAAATGTGAACTATGTACGCCAAATGACATTACATCTCTGGATTCCAGTCGACCAAGTTAACTTGAATAATTTGGTATTCACAATCAGATTTCATTACACTTACTGTGTTAAATACAAAAATTACCTCATGTCGTAGCAAAGCACTATTTGCACCTAGGGACTCAACAATAGCAGAAACAGCTTCGTCTTGCCCAAGATTCCTAAGAGCAAAAAGAGCTGCATAACGCTCACACATGCACTTTCCTTCATCTAATAGAATTTCCCTGAAAAAGAAAAGTAATGTTAATAAATTGGATCAACGCAAAGCTAAACTCAGTAAACCAAAAACCAGTTGTGTACGTTCAAAATGACAACCTCAGCTCTCGTATGGAAGAACAATTAGCAGGAGCAGCGGGATCAACTGATAAAAAAGGAGATGATGTAGAAACAGATGTGTTCTTTACTTTCTCAATCCGACTTAAGGCTAGCTCACACGTTTCTCGAACTTCTTGAGCTGGGTCAGAAGCCAAACTCTTTTTAAGAAGTGAAACATTGCTGTCTAAGCCGATTGCACCAAGAGCTTCTGCTGCCTGGTCATACGTGTTCACATAAAATGGAAGCATAAAGATTTAGTTTGAAAAATTACAGTTCGTGAAATAACATGATGAACATCCAGAAGTCATTAGTATACCTCATGGCGAACAATGGGGTGCAATGAAAGATCGTTCAGCACAGCTTCTAAAGCAGGGATGGCTTCTACATCTTGCATCTGCCCCAAAGCAAATGCTGCCTCGTGGGCAAGCAGGTTTGAAGTATCTCTGGTTGCTGAAGGAGAAAAACATTTAAATCAAATCAAATGCGTTGATCAGGATAGTGACTGCATTTCAATGAAAAAATAACAAGGGAAGCTTCTGCAAAACCATAGATTACATGTTACGACTTAAATGGACTAAAATGTTCCACTAAAAAAAGGGCTTTCAGGATATTTGCCATTGTTTCCCATTTCCAGATTAATCAATCTTTCTGAATGAAAGCTGCAGAAGTAACTCTTACATGTTTCCGAATCATAATCTATGCTGACTCCTTCAATAGAGGAACAAAATCCAAAATTGCTAATAAATTTCCACTAA